TTTCCCCTCGAACGCTCCCTTATCAAAGGTTCCTTTCTCCCCGCCTTTCATTATGTCAAGTTATTTGACCTCAAAGTGTGCTGCTCTCTTATCAAATATTCCAAGAAAACAAACAGCGCTTTGACGGGCCTAGGGTTGTCAAAAGTATCAATACTCTCTGATTTATTTATGTATTTATTTACGTTGTTTATGATCATTAACAAGACGTTAGCCTTGTACTGCTAGTTGCGGCTAATGGCTAATAATGACACGCCAACATTAATCAAGTACATATCCAACTCCGCCCACATCCAAGTCGGACATTTTGATTAGGTCACCAATAGGAAGATCCCAGGCAAGAAAATCCTAATTGCTTCATGGCAATATAGACATTAATTTAAAAATAGTGCAATGAATCTTGCAAACACTGAATTTAACTCTATACATAATATTATGTTAAAATAGTGGATGTTAAATAGGTTTGTACAATAAGTCCAAAGAAGTTTAACCATCCATCCATCCATCCATTATCAATACCGCTTATTCCCTGATGGGGTCGCGGGGGTAACTATTTATTTCTGACAATTATGAAGGTTGGAGGGTTAGGGTTAGGTTTAGGTTTAGGGTCATTAATGGCCAGCATAACATCAGTAACAGGTCAGTTTGAAATGAAAGACGCAATTCAGTTAAATTTTGGGGTCTTTGTTTTTATCCTTGTGGTATTGAAATTGGTATCGAGTATCGAGTATTTTCCTGAGTATCGGTATCCAGTTGAACGTTTTAGTATCGTGACAACCCTAGACAGGCTGATATTTATCTGTCACGGCGCTGCAAAAAATTTTTTTGCATAAAGCAGTGTTTTTCAACCACTGTGAGTGATGGTCAGGTGTGGTGTAGAAAATCATCCTATTTCACCTAATTGGTCTAAAAAGATATTTTGATAAGGAATTAATTATCTGCAAATAATTTTTGAGTGTCTTTGCTGTACAAGTGAGTGGTGGCATAATCATGTAATAATTCCTTATGACTAAATTTTGTATTTAATTTTATATATTGAAGTGGACATGTTAAGAGCAATTTGAGAGAAGAAATATAAAATATGATTAAAATAAATGTTTGTGTTTATTTGATTCCTATTCAAGACACTTAAGATAAGAATAAAATAAGAATAACTATAGTGTTACTATAGGCGGCTACAGATTTGTTTGACATTTTTGGTTGTTGGTGGTGTGCCTCGTGATTTTTTCAATGAAAAAATGGCTCAAAAAAGGGAGAAAAACCCTGTTCTAAAGCTTTGTGACGGCTTACCCTGGGCGGCCGGTGCTGTATTCGAGCGCGGGCCACTTTCTGCTTGTTGACGATGTTCATGAGCTTGACGGCGTCGTTTCCCTTGACGTAAACCACCGGACGCTTCAGAGGGTCGTCCGCCACCTGGTTCAGCTGCAGACCAGGAGGGAAGGAGAGAAAACGTCAAATACCGGCGCAACCGCACGTCTAAGAGGGTTTACTGTATAGGGACACAATAATTAGCCAGAAATGGTGACAAATGATGTCCTACTGTCACTATCTATACTTCCTTCCTTCATTTCTTCCTTCCTTCCTTCCTTCCTTCCTTCCTTCCTTCCTTCCTTCCTTCCTTCCTTAGCAAATCCGCCACTTTGCCTCACTCGGATGCTTTTAATTCCCATTCCGTTCTATCTAAATGAAATGTATGGGACCTCAAGAATTTTTTCTTAACCGTTCACAGAAAAATAATGATCTCAGTGCAAAAAAAAATCAACTAAAATAAAAAACAAATGAACAGAATCTTTACAAATTGGGTTCTAACTTTGGACTTGCTCACTGAGTTTTTCTCCTATCCGAGCTATTTTTTCCCCCATACCTCAAACACATTGTGAGGGCAACTTTTTATGTAACATATGACTTTTGGCTGGAATCAATTATAAAATTAGATAGAAACCAATAGAAAAACTAAATATAGCAAGGATTTCCCATCAAGGCTTCATCTTATAATTGATTGTTCTTTTTTTTGGGCCACCCTGCACAGTCAGATTTTGAGTTTTCAGATTGGAAAACAAACAAAACAAATGTAACTTTTGAGCTTTCGAAGCCTTAATTCATCAGTGCAAAGATAAAGGGAGGGAAAGCAGAGTGTGCAGTAAAAAGTGATGACCCTGAAATGGAGATGGAGACTGGCACATCCCATTAGCCCCTTCATGCATGAATTATGATAATTTCAGTCAGGATTTTTTTCAGTGTTTTTTAAAACATTATAAAAAAAGTATAATTTTTGGGGGGGGGAACTGTGTTCATTCATGGATTTCTCCAGATGTCCACAAACAGTACATGTTTTAAAATGTCTTACTAATAAAATACTGTATGTTAACATATTTTGACATTTGTTAACACAATGCATGAACACATAACTTGGCATGTAAGTCTCCTCCTATCCAAATATTCAGTACTATCTCATCGCTTTTCTCACTCCAGCTCATTCAACCACTTGATTAATTTGAGTCTTTCTCAGCTCTAACAGTACACTATTGTGAACATTTTAAAAAATGTTTAATGCATCATGCTCCAGTGTTCATTTCAAATATAAAAACCCATATAGACACAAGAAAACGGCTTTTAAATAGCTGTCCACTCTAGTAACCTCTATGAACTGTCTGCTCTCACTTTATGAAGCTACTTTTTCTTCTAGCATAAAAAGCTCCTCCAACAATGAAGCCATAAAATCAGAGGTGTGTCACCTTTGAGGGAATGACCTGGTGCTATTTAAACAAGACAAGGCAAAAAAAAGAAGAAGAAAAGAAGTCTGGGAGCCGCCTCCCTAAGTTAAAGGACATAAAACTCCTCTCCGAAAAGGGAAAAGTGGCCTGTAGAGACGAGTGAATGCTAACTTCTAACTTCTGAGTCAGCTGACATCCTCCTTCAATCCTCTCCCTGCTGTGTTCTTCCCTCTCTTTCTCTCTCTCTCTCTTTCTCTCTCTCTCTTTGGTCTGCTGGTTGGAATCTGTAATTTGAAAAGCCCAGGGGAAATACCGAGGATATTCACTGCCCCCCCCTTTAGCAGAAGTGTGCTCTGGTTTTTGAAAGTATAGACGTTGAAATGTTTGATCTCTCAGAGGGAATAACTCCAGCTTGAGACCAATAATAGTTCATTAAGTTATTTGTTTTTGTATTATTTGTAATGTCTTTAGCAATATTGCAATATTACTTATTTAATACTATCTCATATTCTCTTATATTGTATCAATGCAATTCAATACAGCACATTTATTGACATTATATTGTTCTGTATTCCCCTCTATCTATCTATCTATCTATCTATCTATCTATCTATCTATCTATCT